TGCAAGCAGTTTAGGTGCTTTGGAGCACTTTTAAGTGAATGGAATAGAACTTGCAGGTCTACTGAGAGCTCTTGAAAGGCACAAAGATACTCTATGAAAAACGATCAAAATGGCTGATTGGGCATGGTCAAGAGGTGTGGCGTCGAATAATGGATGATTTCCATGACAACATAAATAATTCAAAAAGTTGTCCAAAGGATTAATCTTTGCGAATTACTTGTGTAAGGAAAAGGGTTAAATATGATGGCAAAGTAGGGCATACATATGGCATTGAACCACCTGCAGTAGGACCTGAGTAACGATAAATTGTCGGAGGGTGGAGCCATGATGGTGAAGGTGTACTCTCAATTCCATAAAAAATTGAGCTTATTTTCCATTTTAAAAATTTTTTATCACTTTCATTTGGAATCACCCTTAGCTGTGAAGCCATAAATTCACCAAAAATTTTGTCCACATCCCTAACTCTCTCTGAATCCTTTTCAAAACACGAAATTGCTTTTTCCAATAACGCAGTTTCCTGAGCCTCTTTTTTCTGTTTCACAATACGAGGTGGTTGCTCTAACATTCTGTTCAGTGTCACAGTAATTTCTTCACTGTTTTCTGTCATAGTACTAGCATCAGAGTCATCACTTGTACACACAGCAATATCTGTAGGCTTATCTTCCTAAAGTAATATAAAATATAAATTTTAAATAATAAAAAAATTTAGCATCACTCTTATTATTTTATACAGGTTCCAAGGACAGAAGCTGAGTGGAAGGAGATACAGAAAGGATTCTATGAACAGTGGAATTTTCCTCACTGTTTGGGAGCATTGGATGGTAAACACATCAACATAAGACCATGTCCCAACAGTGGATCATGGTACTACAACTATAAACATAGGTTTAGTATTGTTCTGTTGGCAGTTGTAGATGCTGATGACAAGTTTTTATACGTAGACATTGGTTGCAATGAAAGGGCATCAGATGGAGGAGTTTTTTGAGAGAGCACATTATGTAATGCATTAAACAATAACTCTGAATATTCCTCAACCTTAAACACTACCTGGTTTTACTCTTCCAATGCCTTACTCTTTGGTAGCTGATGATGCCTTTCCTCTGAAGGACTACATTCAAAAGCCATATTTTAGTCAAATTGGTTTGACTGAATAAAGACGTATTTACAACTACAGGCTCAGTACAGCTAGAAGTGTTGTCATAAATGCTTTCGGAATTTTGGCCAATCGCTTTAGAGTTATTATGGCACAAATATGCTTTTCACCTGAAAAAGTAGAAGCAATAGTTATAACTTGCTGTCTATTGCATTACTACTTTGGTCACAACAAAGTTCCAGCACTGTGTACACCCCACCAGGCAGCTTAGACAGTGAACATCCCCTTAGTCATGAGGTACAGCCAGGCGGATGGTGTGCTGATGTTCAGAGTTTAAAATTACCAGAATTTAGTTCAACAAGGGAGTAACCATTCAACAGAATCAGCAAAGCAATTTCGTACTTACATGATGGAGTACTTTAACTTTGAAGTAGGAACTGTATCTTGGCAAAAAGATATGATCTAGGCTGATGTACATTGTATATAGCTACTTGAATAAACACTATACCTGTATATCTTATTTTGCTCAACAGCCAATGATTGTACGTGTACCAAGACAATTATTAATTTCTTACCTTTAAATTAGAAGTTGTTCCTTTTGAAGTCATGAAGTCATTAAAAAATTGTAATTGCTGAAAATGTGGCCAATTACTCAGATATACATCATCTGAACCTGTGCCAGTTGGTCTTCCTTTAAACTTTTGTAGCTCATTGAGTATGAATTACTTTAATCTTCTTTGTAACATCATTATCTACACATTTAACTCATCATACATCACATTCTATAAGGAATAATGCTTACCTGACTCACCTAATGAAGAAGCTAGTTTAATAATAGCGTTGCTCTCAACTTTCTATCATGGTGCTCCTTGAATTTTGTGTTGTACAAGACTCTGCAGCAACTCTATTAGTTGGTCAACCCATTCTGTTGACTGGTGTTGTTCCAGTTCTTTGGAACTAGAACTAGAATGGCTTAAAGTACAGGTTTTTAATTTTAGTTCCTGTTCTATAAACTGGAACTAAAAATATTTGTATTACAGTTCACTAGAAATATGTACTCATATCATTTAATTTACCCTACAATTACTAGAACTAGAACTAGAATTAAAATAAAACTTCAACAGGTACTTTAACTTATACTAGAACTAAAATAGTCTAACTAAATACTTTGTAGGAAGCAGCATGTCACAGTCTATTGGATTTAAAAAAAACCATCTAACAGACAGCAGATCTGGAAGGGAGACCTTGCTTTGCAAAAATATAAACTACATGTACTTGTAAACAATATGAATCTTTATTACTATTATCTAAAGCTTGTGTTTGGTATTGTTGTTTTTTGTTTGAACTATATCAAAAACTATAAATGAACTGGAACTAAAGTTAAGTACTGAATCTCAAAAGGACTGAGTACTGGAACTATATACTAGAAGTGAAATTTAGGAGCATATAGTACTGGAATTAAACTAGAATAAAATTTATAGCCATTAAAGAATACTGAAACTAGTACTGGAACTAAAATTATATTACTAGAAGTAGGTAACTAGAACTAAAATTAAAAGTAATTTCGGTGGAACTAAAACTGGAACTGTAATGAAAAAGTCATTTTGGAACAACATTACTGTTGACCAAATACTATCCTCAGACTTAGACTTCCTACTAGCAGCCATGTTAAATCTTTCGTCTCGTCAACTCTAACCCCACCCAGCAAATAACTATTATTAATTAAATTCTTTGTTGTCACCATGGTACATTTTGAAGTGGTTGGGCAACATGTTGCTTGGAATAGAAACACTTTCTATTCCTGGCAACATGTTGCCAACCTGTTCCTTTCAGTGTTGCAGCCCAACATACACTACAACAATTTGCTTTCTGCAGTATTTCCAGCAAAATGTTGCCTTGTGTATGTTGGGTTTTAGTGGTTGCTTCAACATTACTGATGTCCTCCTTTGAAAGTGTAATCATATTCAGAAAATCCATGCTATGCATATACAATGACATCAGTGATAGCAGCTGAGACCTATTCTAAACGGCTGCTTAAACTCTATTTTTTAAAGATCGTGCAGTTAATGGCAGCCTCATATTTGCAGAATCTGATGTACTACATAGCTGTGGCTATTGGAATTACATGCAATAATGCTACTGGTGCTCCCAAGCCTTCTAACTGATGTTTAAGACTTGTAGTTTCAGCAGATGTAGTACCACTATATGTAGTCTCGCCACGCCCCTTTGCTACCTGCGGAGGAAGGGTCTGGAGACACTCGCAGTAAAAAGCTGTGCTATATGCAGAGAAATCCACATCCCAATCAGATTGCTCGGCCACATGTCACGACTTTCGTCATGTGAAAGTCACATGACCTGAGCTAACAAGATGGCTGAGCAAAGAGGAATCAAGAGAGCTAGGAGAGAAAAGGACGAAGAAACCAGTCTACGCAAGTTTGAGGATGCTTTACATCTGTGTACAGCTAAATTTGGATATAACACCCTGAGAAATGAACAAAGAATTGCTGTTCTGTCATTCTTCAAAGGAAATGATGTGTTTGTTTGCCTTCCAACAGGCTATGGCAAATCATTCTGTTATTATTGCCTTCCCCTGCTTTTTGATTTTTTAAATGACAAGTCTTCATGGTCTGTTGTAATAGTAGTGAGTCCTCTTGTTGCTCTGATGACTGACCAAGTAGGATTTCTGAAATCTAAGGGATTCACTGCTGTCATTTGTAATAGCTGTGCAGAGGCTGAGCAGTCGTCGATAGCAAATGGTGATTTTCAATTTGTTTTTACTAATCCAGAAACGTTATTTGATAAAAATTGGACGGATGTTTTTACCAGCTCTACATTACAAGACAGATTAGTAGCTCTTGTCATTGACGAAGCTCATTGCGTGAAGAAATGGTATGTTGCATTCTACTTGAAATTAATTTTCAATTTTTCATTTATGTTAGGGGCACAGAATTTAGAAAAGAATTTGGCAGATTAGGTGACCTACGTGGCTTTTTTCCTCCTTCTGTCCATTTCATGGCTCTCACAGCAACGGCATCTAATTCAGTACAGAAACACATCACTCGTTTACTGGGTATGTCAAGACCTCAAATGGTGATCCGGTCACCAGATAAGCCAAATATTTATTACAGCGTTTCTGAAAAGTGTGGTACTTTAGAAGAAATTTTTAAGCCATTGATTGAAGAGTTAAGAGTTTCTCGTATAAATACAAAGAGGACCATTGTCTTCTGCAGAACTCTTAAAGATTGCAGTGACTTATACCTTTTCTTTCGATACACAATGGGAAAGGAATTCAATGAACCTATTGGGGTAGCTGATTTTCCAATATTTCGCTTAGTAGACATGTTTTCAGCATGCAACACACCTGGTTTGAAGCAGTCAATTTTATCCTCTTTCAGTAACCCTAGTGGAATATTGCGGATTGTCATTGCAACTATCGCTTTTGGCATGGGGATAGATTGTCCAAATGTGCAGAGAGTGATTCACTGGGGACCACCCTCCGATTTGGAAAGTTATATACAGGAAACCGGCCGAGCTGGTAGGGATGGAAGTAAGGCTTATGCAGAGCTCCTGTTTTCCAAACGAGACACTGGTGTTAGTTTTATGGAGCCAAGCATGAAGTCCTACTGTCAAAATGTGGATGTATGTCGGCGAGAGGTACTATTTCGAGATTTTGAGATTGCTTCTCCTTCTAAGAAACCGTTAGGATGTTTGTGTTGTGATATATGTGCAATGGTATGTTCATGTAGTGACTGTCAGTTTAATGATTGTACTGTATAAAATGATTTGCAATATTAATTTAAAATGTCTTGTTATAATAATTGATTTACATTATATCTTTTCATAATCAGAACAGTAACAATGCTAATAAATTACATTAAAGGTTTTGCAAAATATTTTTTAACCTCTGCTTTAGCCATGATTTCAAATCTTCACTCTTGATCTTCCCTGTAACGTTACCCTGAAATCGTGCAAACTGTTTGTGCTTCCTACCATCAATACTGTCATAGATATTTTTCTTATTAAGTTCCTCTAGAACTTGCTTCAGATCCTTTCGTAATGCTGGACTAGAACGGTATCCAGAGTCTTGTTTGACGTCTGACTGAAGATCAAAGTTTGATTTGATTGATGTTAGCTTAGAGAGAGACTTTCCTAGTCTATCAATAGTTTTATCACTCACATTTGATGAAAGGTGGCTGATGGATGATTTGAGGTCTCTATTTAAATGTTCTAGATGTAGATCCATTGGTATATTTCTTCCAGGCCGGCCAGATGTGTTGATTGTCCTACTCCATGTAATTTGATGGTTCATTCGGTCTGTGAAGAGATACTTCATCTTTATTAACAAATCAGCAGCTTGTATCGAATATTTTCTCTTGTCTGTAACCTTAAATATAAGGAGCATGTACTTCCAAACAACGAAGAATCCTTAAACCGTCCCCCTCCTTGATTGCATCAGTGAATTCGTTGTATAACAAACCCAAAGACAACAGTTCCTTTCCATATGCAAGTACATGGTCCGTCTCTCTTCCCATGCTATCCAGATTGAAACGGTGTGTGTACATAGTAATAATATTCTTGATAGATGACAGAAACACTTCTAATTTTCTTTCAGGACTGCTTTCCAGAAATGAGTTGTGAAAAGTTTCAAATTTAGGAGTGTCCTCTAATGAGCTCATCTGAAATATCTTCATTACAGAACTTAGAACATGAGCTTCAAACACCAGCTGAAAGAACTCTTCATTTGCAGTAGGATCTGACGTAATTTTTGCTGTGACTGTTCTTCTCATTAAAAGGTTACGCAATTGAAATAAAGTGCAGCTATCAGAACCTGATGTTGTTTTATATAGTATTTT